CAGTGGGAAATAACAAGCCCACACCCTATCATACATACACCACATCAAACTCCTTGTAGTTCCACCAAACACAGTACCTCTGCAGCCTTTGCATATGTTGTTCCCCTCTGCCGAAGAATGTCTTGCCCAGTTTTCCTTCTTATTAATTGCAACACCCTCTTGAGATCTTATTTCAGTTGTTTACCTTCTTTTGAAAATCTCCTTCCCTGAACCTTTAACCTGAGCTACACGGCCCTTCTGTTGTGTTTCAAAAGCACCCTGTACGTGATTTATTATACCATGTTTCACCAGGAACATGACTGTCAATTCAATTTACTGTGTCAAGCCTTGGACCAAATGATATCACAGGCTCCAAGATATCTCGTAAAACCTTCTAAAACAAACATCTCACAGCTAAAGCAAAGATCTTGGCAATGAGGTGTTTCTCCTGATGATGCTGATAATGTCCTCCCTATTTTCTCTGCCATTCAGTGTTCTCTCTCGTACATAAGCTCTGTCCAGAAGTTCTATTTTGGAGCTAGGCAGAAGGTAATCATACCACACATTCATTTGTTCACTCATTCACCAAATATTTACCAAATGTCTACAATGATTATAATAAAATGAATGAAGCAGATTTTGTCCCTGTCCACAAGGAGTTTTCATTCCAGCAGGGAAGACATTAAACAACCATACTTATAAATTAATTATGAATACTGTTAAGTGATGTCAAAGAGAGGTACAGACTACTAAATCCCACGGTCAGTCCCCATCTTATAAGAACTGTCAGCCACATTTGACACAACCAATCACTCCCTGTCCTCCCTGAAACACTTTCTTCAGTTGGCTTTCATCTACTCTTTCGGTTTCTTCTTACCTTACTCTCCTATGCAGGTCTTCTTCTTCTTCCCAACCTTTTAATGTTGTGATGGCCAATGGTCCTTTCTCTTCTATTCACTCCCTAGATTTACACACCATCTATAAGCTTTGTACACCATCTAGGCTGATAACCCACAAATTTTCATCTCTAGCCTAGACTTCTCTCCTGACCCCCAGACTTGCAAGACCAGCTGCCTAGTGACCATCTCCACTTGGATATTCAGTCACAATGCTCCCGACCAAATTCGCAATCTTGCTCCCCAACTTGCTTTATCTGCAGCTTTGCCCATCTCAGTTCCTGAAAACTCCACTGTTCTAGTTACTCAAGCCAAAAATCTTGGAGTGGTCCTTGATTCTTCTTTTTCTCTCACATCCCATATCCAATCCATCAGCAGTTTCTGTTGATTCTACCTTCAAAATATATCAGAATCTGGCCACTCTCTATCACCTTTACTGCTATCATCCTGGTCATAGCAGCCAAAATCTGTCCCTACGTTACTGTAATAGCCTCCCAACTATTTCTCCCTTTGCATCCCAAGAACCTAGGCCCATAAGAACAGCCAGAGAGATCCTTTTAAACAGTTACGTTAGATCAGGTCCCTCCTCTGATTGAAACCCTGCAACAGCTCCTCATTTCACTCAGAGTAAAAGCCCGAGTCTTGACAAGGACCTATGACATCTGACCCCCATTTCCATATGGACACAATCTTACCATTTCCTACTACTTTCCCCTCATTCCAGTGACACTGGACCTTTGCATGGGCAGCAAACAGATCCCCAAGACTAAGTCCATTACCTCTTTCAAGTCTATGCTCAAATGTTACCTTCTCAAAAAGGCCAAACCTTTCTACCCTATTTAAAATTGCAACTTTCCCTCCCCAACACCTGACAATCCCAATCCCCCTTATTCTATTTTTTTTCACAGCATTATCACCTTCCAGCATAATATAAACTTTATTATTCATTATGTTAATTGTCTATTGTGTCTCTCCCAATTAAGCTGTAAATTCCTTAAGGGCAGATGTTCTTATCTATTTTGTTTTCTGATGTATCTTAAGCAAGTAGAACAAAGCTTGACACATAATAAGTGTCCAATACATTTTTTAAAAAATTGTTTTTAGAGAAGGGGTCTCACTATATTGTCCAGGCTGGATTCGAATCCCTGGGCTCAAGCAATCCTCCTGCCTCAGCCTCCCAAGTAGCTGAGATTACTGGGACATGCCACTGTGCCCAGCTCAATAAATGTTTGTTGTATGAATAAAATTTAATTCTTAGAGTCAGATTAGGCTTTACATTATTTTTAAATTTTTTGACTATGACCCACAACAGGTAACACTTTTACCAACATGATTTGGAATACACAAATATATACACTCACAAACATACACTTATTTTTTACTTATATATGACATTTATATATGAAACAAAAGTGTATGAAACAATACTGACCGTTCCTATGTGCAATGCTGTCTAATATTTTCTATTCTATTTCATCAGAAATAAAACAAAACAACAATAACAAAACTCTGGCTGCTACCCACTAAATCAATTTCACAATCCACTAAATTGATTTCATGCCTCACTAAATTGATTTCTGATTCACCAATGAGTTCTGACATATAGTTTGAAAAATACTGGAGACGTGCCTTTTTCACTCTCATCTTTTTCCCTATTGCAAAGAATATCACTCTTTAGAAAGTCTTAAAAGAACTGTATCTGCTACAGAAACATAAGGGAAACAGAGAAACAATAAAACATGGCTCTGGTCCCGCAGTGGGCCAGGAAAGAAAGGAGTCTTGGTCAAATTGCAGAAGAAAGGAATTTAAGCAAATTTATTCCTGGAGTCCACAGAAGAAAGGAAAGATGGTGACTGCAACCACCAAGTACTCCTAAGAGCCACTCAGTAGCAGGCCCCAGTGCTCCTGAAATTCCACAGCCCCTTGTTTCCCAGTGTCTATACCACAGGCTATGAGATCTTTCAATTATGTTTGGAGCTAAGGAAATCCCTTCATCCAGAACATAGCAGAAGGGAAGCAAAGATGAATTCTCAGCTTGGTGTGGTGGAGCATACCTATAATCCTACTTGGTGGGAGGATCTCTTGAGGCCAGGAGTTCAAGGCTGTAGCGTACTATAATTGTACCTATGAATAGCGACTATACTCTAACCTGGGCAACAGGGCAACACCCGGTTTCTAAAAAAAAAAAAAAGAAAAAAGAAAGAAAAAAAGAAAGCAATTTCTCACATGTTTCTAAACTAGAACTATGGATATGTTTTATAATGCTGTATGGGCCAGTTCAGTTCAAGAGTATCCCTACAGGTATAATAATTCTTTGCATAAATGCTAGATTAAATGTGCTTTTAAAGACTAACTTCTACCAACCCAGTACACACTAGATAAAAAGGCCAAAGGAGGAGAGAGGAAAGGGAGCACGCAGTAAAATGAGAAAAAAGAAACCAAGGGTGTAAGAATTAGAAAGGAAGAAATACATGCCATGATAGATTATATGATTACCTACTTAGAAAATCCAAGAGAATTTAGATAAATTATTACAATCATCAAGAAAGTTTAGAAAGGTAATTGTCTATAATTTTAAAATCCAAAAGCATTTCTATATGCTAGCACCAAATTGAAAATATCATTTTTTAAAAGATACTATCTAGAGTTGTGGCTGTCCCAAGATGAGACTGTTAGAATGGGCCTTTCCTTTCCCAATATGCCCCTGCTCATGAGTTCTTTGTAATTCAATGACTTCCACATCTCCCCCTTCCCCAATTTCTAAGTTTTAAAAAAGGAGTTTGTGCTTTTGGCTAGAGCGCTTTCTATGGGCCCCAGTCTGTCCTCAGCCAAGAGGGGAACAAACTCCTTCACTAGCTTCTCACTTCTCTTACAGCATGAAAGTCTTGCTCATTCCTTCCTAGTCCTCCCTGCCCACTACCCCAGCAGCAGCTCCACTCAGAGGGGTTTGATGGTAGTTGGAAAGGGAGGACAGCAAGCACATGAGTTCCAGAAGTCATCTCCCCAGAAACTCCCTCTTCCCTCAAATTAAGTAAAAGATTCCAATTTGCCATTGATATGTTTTCAAAAAATGTAATGAAGAAACTTTCAAAAGGAATCCAAAAATATCATTCATTCACGAATATCTGAGTGACCATTGTGTGCAAGGCACTACCCCAGGAGCAGAAACATCAGTGCTGATGAAGACGATTCTTTGGAAAGGGGTCACACTGATTTTCTGTTTAAGTTCCATTGTCAGTATAATAAAGGTTCTGCAAAATTTTTAATGAGTGAAATGAAAAAGTGGTTCCCACTATGTATTCTCTTTGTCATACTTTTCTGGGATGAGATTGTCATTTAGACTTAAGATGAAAGAAGTTAATGTTTTTATGGGCATTACCTACTATTAATAAGTATATATGGAAAGAGAAATAAATTATCTTCCCTTTTTCTTCCTTTATGCTATTTTGATACAGAAGTGGAAAGTAAGAACCAACAAAAAATACAGGCTTTCACTTTTTCTCGTTTTTGCTAGCTCTCCCTCATTTTTATACATCTTTTTCCCCAGCCTGGAAGCCATCAACTGTGTTTTACCATAACTGTAAATCTGCACCCAAAGCCCAGGCATATATGCAGATTTCTCTGTCATCTCATAGGGTTCTAGCACCCTGCGAACCTAGAAGAATTCATGCGAAAGTACAGATAATCTAGCTTTTTATAAAGGAAAAAGACAAAGGTAGTAAGAATACAGGAAAGTTTAAAAGCATTTGTTGGGAGGTGTGAGGAGAAAACAAAAGCATGAGAATCTACAGAATTCAGTTAGGTTCCAAAGACAAAGATAGAGAAAGGGTTAGGGAAGTGCAGTTTCTCCTGGTGGCCTTCAGGAGACTCTTCAAGTGTCCCAGTGGTCAATGTTCCTACTAGAGCTACTGGCTGAAGACTCAGTCGTGTAGTCCAAGTCAAAGCTGGAAGATGATTGAAAAGGGTCTTACGCCGTACAACAAAATTCAACTTGTTTCCCAACAGACAAATTGAAGTTACTTTTGACTGTCTACTCACTCCCACCTCACTACACCCAGGATGCATCTCAGAAGTGTCAAGAACAATAAGTGAAAATCTAATAAATGAATTTTAGTAAGTGCACACCTGTTTTAGGCCACAATGCATTGACTGCAATTTCACCTTTAAATTCTTCTGCCATTCCAAGCACACACATAGACATACCATACTTAGCAATGGTATAAGCTGAAAGAAACCACAAAGAATAACAATTTAATTAAGAAACAAATTAATTTCTGAGTAGAAATAACCAAATTCTATTACTATTTTTTCCCTGATATATTTTTGAGAATTATTTTTAGTAACAAAAAGTATATAAAATATAATTTTTAAAGGTACTATTTTTGAAAGAACAGTTTTTATAGAATTGAATAAAGATGCACTAGTTTTATATATTTCCATTCTAATATTTGATTAGAAGAAAAGAGACAGTAATAAACTTTCATTTTCCCTAACAGTATGAGGGTAAATTACATTATGATTTCTTAATCTGTTTTTTCTTTTCTTTTTAAAGAATGAAAGTGATTATTTAAAGGAAAACTACTGTTAGTTAAAAAAAAAGTTGCAATTTCATTTAACCTAGTCAATTACAGCAGAATTTCTTTTAGTTTTGCTCTGCAGGTTCCTATTCCAAGTGCCTTTCCAAATGTTAGTGACTTATGTTGAAATAAAAACTAAGTATCTGGATACAACTACTTTAAAGGAGGCACCTATACATAAATCTTGCAACTTAGGCTATTTCCCACGAATCATTAGTTTGCTATGACAGGTAAAGTATTTCATGAATAGTTTTTAACCCACTTTGTTGAAGAATAAATTACATATAATAAAACACACCCATCGGGACATAAAAGACCTTTCTGAGATGATAGAAATCCATATCTCGATTTGGGTATTGGCTATACAGATATATACATTTGTCAAAACTCATCAAAATGAACCATTAAGATCTGTGTGTTTTATTGAATGTAAATTATACCTCAATTTTTAAAATTACATATAAAGGATTAGGAATCTAGCACTCCCAAAAATGATATTATGGATTTGGCATAGAAAATTCAATGTTGGATGCTATGTACAGATTGTGATTGTATCATAGATATGCAGATTTAATTCGAAACAAATTAACCGCAAACCATCCCCTCACCCTATCACCTACCACAGTGCTGTTTGAACCATATTGGATTTAGGTTCAGTGGTGGGCTGAGATTAAGGATATGAGCAATTTTACTCTTTTTCAAATAAGGAATACATGCTTTAGATCTGAAAGTAAAAGAAAACACAAGTCAACTTAATTGCTTTCTAACTTCTCTACTTTTTAAAGTTATATTTTAAACTACTACTACAGAGCAACTGAACTTGCTCAGTAATCTGTAGGGGTCGTTTTGTTTTGTTTGTAGGGCACTTCTGTTTGCCCTTTAGAATGAAGATAGGAAAAGCAACTGATTTTCATCCTTTGAAACTCAGCTTTAATGGCCTGGCAACATGATTTGCTTGATGAAAATAAGCAGACACATTAGCCCCCCTCCCTTTTTTTTTTTTTTTGAGACAAAGTCTCGCTCTGCCACCCCCAGTAGAGTACAGTGGCATCATGGCTCACTGCAACCTCACTGGGCTCAAGCAATCCTCCTGCCTCAGCCTCCCAAGTAGCTGGGACTACAGGTGTGCGCCACCACGCTCGGCTAATTTTTTTTCTATTTTTAGTAGAGATGGGGTCTTGCTCTTGCTCAAGCTAGTCTTAAACTCCTGAGCTCAAGTGATCCTCCCACCTCAGCCTCCCAGAGTGCCAGGATTACAGGCATGAGCCATCCTACCTGGCCTACATATTAGCCTTAAACCCAACTCAACCACAACTGTCCCAGATTTTCCTTCCTCAACACACACACACAATTTTCAGAAACAGTTAATGTACTTGTTAGTCAGCACTGTGGTAAAGTCAGACAGACCTGGGTTCGAATCCTGCTTCCGCCCCTTCATTGCATGACCTTGGGCAAATTATATAGCATTCTAATTCATAGTTTTCTCCCCTGTCAATGTTGGTAATACCTCCTACCATCTAGGATTGACCAAGGGATTAAACTTAGATGACATAGAAGAGACACTTAGGATGGTGCATACTCTAAACATGAAAAAAATAATCACTATTATTAGTATTTCACATGCTGATTTATTTCATCTTGGTAGGCATAGTACTTTTACTACATTGGGACTATAATTTAGTAATATAACTCCCGATACATTCCCAAATTTAATTTGCACCAATATTAACTGCAACATGCCTTTGAGCAATATATAGTTTTACTTTTAAAAAGTCACTCATAAAAGTAGGCAATTTATTTTATAAAAGATTCAGGTCTAATATTTTAAAAATTTTAATTATTAAGTTATAATGTCATTAGCTAAATAACATATTATACCTTAAATAATCTGTAGCTTTATTTTAGCTTTATTTCACTTTTAATGACTTGTAACACTTTGAACTAGTCCATTCTTATTTCAAGTAAGTTTTTTAAATTACCAAATGTATAACACTGGCGCTGCCAATTGCAATATTGGTTCAAACTTACAAACCAAATACACTAAATATCACTAAAGGTTTTTTGTATGTATTGTTTTTCATTTCCAAAGGGGCTTCAATTTTATGGGGGTGAGGTGGAAAGGGACAAACAATATTGCAGCTGATTCTCATTAAAACAGTGAAACTGAACCTCAAAGCATCAGTAACAAACAAACTAAACCTATTCCAGGAAATAAGACCATATTTTACAATCAAAGGAAAGAGCTCATTTCATTTACATTATAAACAGAAGCTTTCCTTTCATCTATTAGACAAAACTTTTCCATCTGCACCTTGCCAGCCTGGCCCTCAACACTGCTAATCTTTCATCAGATGCACCTGTCATGGCAACATGCCCTGTATCTTATATAGGCATACTAATCCCTCCAGCTTAATAAAATAGTTAAGTTTATTGAAAACTTACTGTGTGCCAGGCACTGCATTTACTGCTTTTCCTGAATTATTTTACTTTGTCAGGGTTGCAAACTCAAAGGCCTATAGGGCATTTGAGTAAATGAATAAAGCAAGCTGGGAATAAGAAAAATCAACTATTCAGAAATACAATTGAACTTTACTACTAAACCTCTATTGGTATTTAACATGATACAAACACATATAATACTGAAGAGAATATACTAAATTAAAATTGAAAGATACAAATTAAAATAGAAGTATTTCATTATGAATTTTAATTTTATAACATCTTTCACAGAGGACGAAAAACCTGACAGTTTTCTTTGACCCAAGGGTCAATGTCAGGTCCTTCACCTAACATTGCAATACAAGTTTAACTGGGAGCAAGATTTAATTTTATTAGTATCATTTTTAAAAAATTAGCTGTTCATAAAGGTAGGAATTTTCAACAGTGAATAGAATCTTTGTGCAAGGGTTTTTATTTTTAGAGTATCTACTCCTCAGATATTTGTAGATCTGTTATTCTAACCTACTCACATTTAGTTTTTAGCACTTTAGTGTCCAACAGCTTATAGCTTCTGTTTGTAGTTATTCAACTATACTAACAGTATTCATTGAGAAAGGTAATGGAACAAGGTTAGTGCATTTTCCTATAGTTTGAAATCAGGGTTTTTTGGTTTGGTTTTGTTTTTAATTGAGCCTTCAAATCTAGAAGTATGGTTTAGGCCATCATGTTCATTTTTGGAAAATGACCTCAATATGGGAAAGTGGACCAGATTGCTCTTGCCATATGGCTTTCCAAAGACATAATTTCACAAGGAAAGAGTAAAGAGAATCATCCATTTGTGTATATATAAGTCATAATATTAGCTAAAAAGGCTGAGTCTATAGTTATGATTACCAATTTTGACAAATCTACATACAATTCAATACTTTACTTGCATTAATCATCTCTTAGAAAGATAATATGTCCATTTTTAACTTTTTTAGCAGAGAGCAATTCCTAGTAAACAATACAATGAATGAATTTAATTTTTTCACCTTTGCAAAACATATCTACATTAGTTTAGATTTCAGTAAGTCTAAAGTTAATACTACAGTAGCACAGTCTATAGTTATGATTAATAACTTTGACAAATCTGCCATAAACTTTCAAAGACATTTCTCAATACCTAACAAGTCAATTCCTGATATTCATGTCATATGTACCCAGTCTAAAAACTTTTAATCACATCAAAATTCTCCTGATACCATAAATAAATTTAACCAGGTACATGGTACGGGCCGAGTAACCCTTATCCAGGGTTGGGTTATGAACTGCTTGGGACCAGAAGTGTTTCAGATTTCAGATTTTGAAATATTCACATTATATTATACTTACCAGTTCAGCATTCGTAATCTGAAAATCCAAAATCCAAATGCTCACTGGAGCACTGTTGAGTTCATCATATTGGCACTCAAAAAGTTTCAGATCCTGGAGCATTTCGGATTTTCAGATTAGAGATACTCAACCTGTATATTTATATCTGTGGCTTCAACATCTATAATAGAAACTGCCACAAATCATTAAACTTATTCACACAACGTGCCCTTCTAAGCTTTAATTTAGCAGGCTGAGTGGTAGTATTCTTGGTTAGGTTTATATTTTAAAACACTCGTTTAAACAAAGTACGTGCATTTAACTGAAATTCTTTCACAAAGTTTCCAGCTGCAAAAGATTTTGATGCCCTGATAATTTTTTCATGTAACACATAACAGTATCACACAGCAGCACTACCTATTTTATTTGAAAATAAATATAACCCTATTGAAAAATGAGTCTTTTTTCTAGTTAAGTTTTTCATCACGATCTTTTCTGCATGTTTACTATAATTCTCACTATGGTTTGATTCAATATGGTTTCATTCAGTAGAGACATACCTCACATATTGAATTTGTAGAAATATGCCTCACATCTACAAAGAAGCAAGCTCTCACCCATTTTACTTGAACATACGGCCCTCTTGGCAAAAGTCTCATTTTCCCACTTCAGATAGAGACATAATTATGGGAAATATTTTACTTTCTTGTTTCATATAAGAAAAACAACAGTGCAAGCACAACGAATAAATGGTAACTTTTCAGTCTGTCCTCAGCATCCAGAAGACAAGACATCTCATGCCCCATCACATAAGGCAGCTGATACTCTGGCACTCAGCTACAGCAGCTAACTGTTGCCATATGGGAATCCTGCCTATATGTGGCCAGATTTTCCAGCATTTCAAGAAAAGCTGGAAATCTGGAGTTTTCTGTAAATCTTCTTTTTTTTTTTAACATAGGCAACTAATGAACTGTCGAATGTAGGTAACTAATGAAAACAAATTTTTTAACACTGTCTAGGCCAAGTTTTGCAGTTCCAGCAAAACACATCTGAGGGCAAAATTCAGGACTCTAACTTAACAACTTATACATTTAACCTTCATGACCAACCCTATAACATATTCCTTTATTTTAGCCATTTTACAAATGAGGAAATCGAATGTGCAAGAGGGTTAACTTACTTGCCCAAGCTCACAAAATAGCAAGTTATGAGGGGTGAGTGTTAGGATTTGAATCCAGACAGTCTTACTTCAAAGCTTAAGCTCCTAATCACCTGTTCTGTGTATAACAAGATACATATAAGGCAGGGAAGGAAGCTCTCCGCCGATGTATCCTTATATCCACACGGAAAATGATAGAACCTGAGGGTAAATAAACAAATAAGAACGGGCACAGTGGCTCAAGCCTGTAACCCTAGCACTTTGGGAGGTGGAGATGGAAGGATCACTTGAGCCCAGGAGTTCAAGACCAGCCTGGGTAACAGTGAGATGCTGTCTCTACAGAAAACTTAAAAAATTAGCTGGGTGTGGTGGTGTACGCAGCTAGTCCCAGGTACTCAGGCCAAGGCAGAAGGATATCCTGAGCCAGGAGTCTGAAGTTGCAGGGAGCTATGATAATGCCACCGCACTCTACCCTGGGTGACAGAGCAAGACCCTGTCTCAAAAAAGAAAAAAAAAAAACAAAACAACTTAGGTTTTAGTATGTAAGTAACTGTAAACTCATTATGAATCACACTTTAAGGTAACCAACAGAAAGGCTAAGGCTATCTTGGGCATCATCAGGGGAAATGTAGAATATAGAATGAAAGATGTCACTGCATTTGAGCCTGGGCAACACAGCCAGACTCTGTCTCAAAAAAAAAAATTAAAAATTAAAAACAAAAATAAAAATAAAGAAACAAATAAATGGACAAATAAAAAGATGGATTGTCTGACTAATCCAGAACAGATCAGGACTATATTCTCTTTCATTCTATAATGCCTAAGATAGCATTAGCCTTTTTCTTGGTTACCATAAAGTGTGATTCACAATGAGCTTACTGTTATTTATATATTTATATAACAGATAACTGACTGCAACCTCAAACTCCTGGGCTCAAGAGATCTTCCCACCTCAGCCTCCCAAGTAGCTAGGGCTACAAGTAGGCACTACCATGCCAACTAATTTTTTTAAATTTTTGTAGAGATGGGATCTTGCTATGTTGCCCAGGCTTGCCTTGAACTCCTGGGTTCAAGTGATCCTCCCACCTCCACTTCCCAAAGTGCTGGGATTACATGCGTGAGCCACTGTGCCCGGCCCAAGTCTTTTTTCTTTCTTTTAACCCGTCTTTTTTAGAGGAAGGCAAGACTATTGCTAGCTTGAGTAATCAGAAGAATATGAAAGACACAGTACATATATACTTATACACACAAATATTTGAGAATGTTTGAGCTATACTTTAGTTTTTATTAGATTCACAGAGCAAAGGAACACATAATAAAACTATTTAAAATACTGTCCACTGACTTTGAAATACTTTTAGGCCCTTATAAGGATTGACTAGATTTTAAACTGTACTATTAATTTAGTTCAAATCTGTTTACTACTAAGTTTTCTGAGAAAACACTGCAACATCCTCCCATACAACTCTTTTTTCTCACTTACGTAAGGTAGGTGCCTCTAGTGTTCACATTCATCATCAAATCCACTCTCTTTGTAGGTGTTTCCAATGTGTTGGTCAAGCTAATAGCACTGGCATTATTCACCAAAATATCAATTCCTGTTTTCAAAATAATCAATTTCATTTTAATATGTCAGACTTTTTTATCACAAAATTGAAAAGCATTTATGCTATATATTTGACAACCTCAGTTGATTCACAAATACAGTCATACACCACATAATGACATTTCAGTCAATGACAGACTACATATACAATGGTAGTCCCATCAGGTTATAATACTGTATTTTTACTGTACCTTTTCTATGTTTAGATATGTTCAGATACACAAATACTTGCCATCATAGGCATTGTGTTACAAATGTCTACAGTATTCACTACAGTAACATGTTGTATGGGTTCATAGTCTAGGAGCAATAAGGTATCCCGTATAGCCTAGGTGCGTAGCAGGCTAGACCATTTAGGTTTGCACAAGTATGCTCTACCATGTTCGCACAAAGATGAAATTGTCCAACTATGGATTTCTCAGAACGTATCCATGTCATTAAGCAACACACGACTCCACTTCTTTTAGATAATATGACTGACCAATATACCAGTGTAAGACTGGTAGCTATATCAAAACAGCACCTGCATGATTTTCACTGGCACAATGGAGATACAGCCAATCTCCAGAGCTCCGAGTGAGACTATAACGAGGTTTAGTCCTTAGTGGTTTGTAGCTTCCACTGCTGTTTTCTTACCTCCTGGTCTTTCCTCCCTGTCTCCATTGAAACCTTAGGCCAAATTCCTTAAACTCTTCTCTCCTCTCTAGCATGTTCTGAAGGCCTGCCCCACTTCTAAGCATACTAATCTCCCTTTCTCCCAAGACCCCTCATTTCAAGGGAAGGGTTCCTTTCTGGTCTTAGGAATTGGGAAAAGAAAAAGATCTAGAGTTTCAATGCCCTAGAGGCAAATCACTGAAGTGGATCAATTTTGTTTTAATGACTCATACACACACATGTGCACATACACACACACACACACACACACATACATAGAATAACTGTTATTTCTGCATCTTCTACCCAGTTCCTATCCATATACAACATATTTTGTTTATAGCTATATGCTATAAATATTAATATTATTAAATGAAAATATTATTAATAATATTATTGATATTATTAAATGAAATATTAATAATATTAAATGAAAATGGTAAAATACAAAACTATGTCAAACATTTCCCTTGTTTCTACATGGTCTTCAATATTATTTTTAAAGGGTATTTAAAGAAGGTTGTACATATGAATGAACTTAATGCCACTGAACTGTATACTTAAAATGGTTATAACCACAAATTTTACTATGTGTATTTTACCACAATTTTTAAAAATTAAAAAATAAATGCAAAAAAAAGGGCACTTCAAGTAGAAATATCACAATTTCTGCTTCTGGGGTTGGATTGTTGCAATTAACATCTTTTATTATCCTTTTTTACCCCCTTCTTTCAAAATATGTGGGTAATGATTTAAATAAGCTTATTAAATTCACTAAAATATTTCAGTCACAGGTACCCTTTCTTAATAGATAGTAACATTATAAAATTTTGATCACATCCTCATTTCCCATATCCTCAATTCCCATATCCTTTGTGTAGAGTTTGTGTTGTTAATGTTTTCTCAAAATGTATCCTTAGAATAATTCTGGATTCAACTATATTGCATTTTATAGCTCCATATAACACAACTCAAATTTAAGTAAATCATCTGTGTATCTGAGATAAGTTCCAGGTCCTGTGAGTATTAACTTTCCAGAATGAACATCATAATGATGGTTGCTTTCATAAGTGGCAAAGACCTATGAAAAGAATTTTTAAATCCAGGCCATGCTTCTCAGTCCATAAAGCTGAGAGTTGCTCAACCACATCACCATGAGATAATCACTGAGTGGCTACTCTACACAAGGCACTCTCCTAGGGCCTAAGAGACAGGAAGATGATATTCACTAAAGGAGAAGCCAGGTAGGAACAGAGCAAATTGAGTGTAGGTCTGGAGAGATGCGGGACTGATGAGTATATATACCACAGACGTAGAATTACCCTACTTAGGGAGATGAAGCTAGTGAGGACTGTCCCAATCAATGGATGCCTTGAGCAAAGCCAGACTTTACTGACTTTATCTTTCTCATTTTGGGATAACAAGTGACAAATATCTTAACAAAGCAAATATCTGAGCCTGAAGGCAAAGAAATCAGATGAGGAATGCAGATATGCTCATTTGGCAAACTGTATGTGACTTAGCCATGATAGAGGGGGAAAGGGGCCCAATTTAAGAGACAGGTTAAAATTTCTAAACTCAGATGAGCCAGATTACAATGGATCAGGGAACAACAGTGGGAAATGATACACAAAAGCATATATGTGCCTATTGAAAGAAAAAAAAGGTAGAAGGAAAGAATGCTTCTCTGCTTTATGAAATGCATCATTTACTCAAGGCCTGAAAAAAACTGAAGGTGAAGGAAGACAAGGTGATAGAGAGTACCATGTAACAAAGAATCCTAAGGGCACAGGTTTGAAAATGTCATCAACTGCTCAGAACTTTATTAAGGACAATTCTCCAGCAGAGACAAATATCAGGACAGGCTGGGTGCAGTGGCTCACACCTGTAATCTTAGCACTCTGGGAGGCAGAGGCGGGAGAATTGCTTGAGCTCAGGAGTTTGAGACCAGCCTGAGCTAGAGCGAGACCTGTCTCTACTAAAAGTAGAAAAATTAGCCAGGTGTGGTAGTGCATGCCTCTAGTCCCAGCTACTCAGGAGGTTAAGGAAGGAGGATTGCTTGAGCTCAGGAGTTTGAGCTTGCTGTGAGCTATGATGGCCTCACTGCAATCTAGCTGGGGTAACAGCAAGACTCTGTCTCAAAAAAAAAAAAAA